GAGAGCGGAGCGGCCCCGGGCCGGGGGGCACCGGCCCCGGGACAAAGTCCGGGTCCGCCCCGGCCGGCCGAGGCTGCGGGGGCAGCGGGGCGGCAGCGGGCTGTGAGGCAGCCCCCGCCCCGCACACCCCGCACACCCCGCGGGCGGCGGGACGCGCAGCCCCCCCAGGGAGGGTCCCGCGGGGCGGCCCCGCCGGAGCGGGCCGGGGCTGCCGCCCTGCCCCGCGCCCCCGGGCCCTCCCCCGGCCGCGGGGGCCCTCCCGCCGCCGGGCACCGAGGACAAAGGAGCGGCCGGGCCACCGCGGGCCGGGCGGGCCGCGCAGCGCAGGCCGCACTCACCGCTGCAGCACCAGGAGGAGGGCGAGCCCTGCGGGAACTTGGCCGAGTCGGGCGCGATGCAGACGCTGGAGCCGAGGTGCGGGCACTCCATGGCGGGGTGCGGGGCGCGGAGCGGGGCGGGCGGGCGGCTCCTCGCGGCGCTACAGCGGCGGCGCCCCGCGCACAACAGCCATCTTAGGGCCGGCCTCCCGCTCCGCTCCGCGCCGCCCGCGCCGGGCTTTGGGGGCGCCCGCCCGTCCGCCCCCTCCGCGCTCCGCCCGCCGCGCTTTGCCGGCAGCCGTGACGGGAGCGCTCGCGTGAGGGAGGCGGGAATGGTTTGGGTGGGGAGGGACCTCGGAGAGCACCCCCTGCCACCCCTGCCGTGGGCAGGGACACCTTCCGCTGGCCCAGGTGGCTCCAAGCCCCGTCCATCCTGGCCTTGGACACTTCCAGGGGTGGGGCAGCCACAGCTTCTCTGGGCAACCTGGGACAGGACCTCCCCACCCTCACAGGGAGGAATTTTTCCCTAATATCTAATCTAAAGCTACTCTCTGTCAGTTTGAAGCCATTCCCCCTTGTCCTGTTACTGCGTGCTCTGCTAAATAGTCTCCATCTTTCCTGTAAGTTCCCCTCGGGTCCTGGAAGGCCACAATCAGGTCACCCCAGAGCTTCTCCTCTCCAGGCTGAACAATCCCAACTCTCCCAGCCTTTCCTCCCAGCAGAGCTGCTCCATCCCTTTAATCCTCTTGGTGCCTCCTCTGGGCTCTCTCCAGCAGCTCCATGTCCTCCCTGTGCTGTTCCCCAGGGCTGGAGCAGCTCTGCAGGGGGGTCTCCCCTGAGGGGCCGAGGGGCAGAATCCCCCTGCCCCGCTGCCCTCAGTGCTTTGGAAGAGCCCGGGATGTGCCCGTGTCCGGCTCCCGCCCAGCCTCTCCCCCCGTGTTGTGTCCCGCAGGATGCACAGCCCGGAGCTGTGCCGGCTCTGGGCTCTGCCTTCGGGAGCCCTGTGGTTCGAGGTTGTCTTGTGTCTCTGGTGATTATTTGCAAATATCGTCACCTCACACTTGGGGTGTTTTTTAAAGAGTTACGTGGCCTCAAATTTGGCTTGTTGCTGAATTTCCCACTCTATGACTGTAACCTGTGAGGGGTAATAAAACCACAGCAATTGGCTCAGCAATTTGCCTGTGCCAAGATCATACCAATATGCTCTTTTCACATAGAGCAAAAAAAGTCCACCAGCATGATACCTGTAAAAGTGGGGATTTTTTTTAATCTAAGGAACTGTGACTCCTCCTGCGTATTAGGAGTTTTAGACCTTTTCTCTTACTGTAACTAATGTGAGAAATACAATTTTGCCACTGGTTTTGCCTGTTGTGTGACCTTTGCGTGGACACGGAAAGCATCTGTCTCAATGTATTTTACACAGCACTGCACTATTTCACAGGAGAATATTTTAGAAACTGACAGTTCTGTATGGATTTTCGGATGAGATACTTTAAATATTCATATCAAAGATGTCTTGGTGGTCACAAATCTCCTTGGTAGAACACTGTTCCTTAACCCCTTTGTTCTTTTTCACTGTGTTTACACAAGGGAGAAGAATTCAAAGCGTGAAAGATCCAATTCTCCACAGCATCAGAAACTACTTTGACTACACTCCATGGAGATAGTTTGTATTTCTAGCTGTGCACTTAAAAGCAGAATTAGGTAAAAAATACCAAACTGTGAATATAATGGCTGTAAATGTTATCTTGACACAAAACCATGGAGCTTCCTCACATATCCCCCATCCTTCAAAGTTGTCATATTTGATCAGTCAGGTAAGTAACATTCCCAACATACATTTTACAGGTTGTACAGAAAGCATGTAATTATATAGTTTTCGAACAAGTATTGTATAAATAGAGCAAAAATTAACAGGGAAGACCACGTTTAAATTCGTTTCATACAATACGACTTTGATACACATCTAAAAATTACTTGTACAAATTTAAGGAGCAAAAAGGTGGTCATGTTTTACATTAGCCAAGGGGTCCTTTTACTTACTCTCCATCCTCTGCCACAATGTATAATGAAGACATACATTAGATTAAAGCAGCAGTTTCACTGCAGTTGCCTTCTGTCTTTTCTAATCAATGCATATATTTAGTGCTCTTGTTGTGCCCCATCCATCCTTACACACAGACAATGAGTAAGAAACCTTGATTAGATCTGTTCTGCTTGTTTTCCCCTTGTACCCGTGTCACTTGGCCTTCTCTAACCAGTATTCTGCAACCAGATTTTAACCAGAACAGGCAGTTCTCACCTCTGTGTGGATTATGTTGGCAATGTATTTAGTCTTTCAGAAGTAAGGAAACTGGTTAACAAGGATTGAATATGGTAAAATCAACATGTTTGTGTACTTTTGGCTCTCTAGTTTCGTTTTAGCGCTGCCATTCTTGACTTTACAGTTGATACAATATATCTGGAGAGGAGAACCAATTCCCTTCTTGAGCAAACAGGACGAGGGTCTGGCTCAGAAAAACAGTATGGCCTTGCATAGTCACAGTGGGACTATGAAGAAAGACATGCTCAAAAATGACTAGAAATATAAGGCCTATGTCCTGCTTTCCCTTAAGAGTTCCTCTTTTTAGTCCAGAAGGCTGCAAACTTGCAAACCTCGCAAAGAAAAAAAATGCATGACTTTGGTTTAATTTAAGAAGCCTTTGACCGTGGTCTAGTACCTTTATTTTAAGTTGCAACTTTAACTTGCAATATTAGGCACAAAAAAAAAAAAAGTCTCTTCTCCCCTGCCATGGAGTTATTAAAATCCCCATGACAAAAGAACAGAAAGTGCTTGGAATTACGAGGAGGTGGGGAGGGACTGCACAACTCTGCTCAGCACAGCATTTCCTGGCATGACAGACACCAGCTATGACTTCTCTAGGCAGCATTTAGCTGTGAAAAACTGCTAAATAAAAAGGTGTCAGCTTACCAAGACAGGCCCTTCATCCTCCATCCCTGATCTTTCATGTTCAGGAACCAAAATCATCCACACTGTTCCACCTGGTTCCTTTGCGAGATAATAATGGAGTTTTCTGCCCTCTTTCATTTGTGGCTTGACAGCCATTCAGTGAAACTCTTTGAAAAGTATAATTTTGCACAAAGATTTGCATATTTCTTTGTTTCAGTTGCCATGCCACAGCAAATGTGGTAGCCTTTAAATGTTTTTTATCTCTGCTTGCCAAGATAAATACTTTAATAAGGATGATTTGATCTATTGGGAAGTCACAATGCACAGAAGTTATCACATATGTGAGGATGCATAAGGACAAGTATATTTGTAATGCAACCTCTTTGCCTACTGAAAAATAATTGGTGACTGATGCAACTCTGAGCACTCAGATCTCAAAAGCTTTACTTACAGCAAGGGTAGTTTCAAGTGCCTTGCAGTGAGACATCCGTGTTGAATGCAGAGGAAAACTGGAGTAGAAGCTCTGGGAACAATTTTCCTTTTTAGTTCGCTTTTTCAGTGAGATTTCTTCAGGACAAATCACTTGATTTTGCACTGGAGTCTCATCTCTTGCTCCCATCCTTCTTCAGATCAGAGTAATTTAGATGATAGCCAAGATAAATCCTGCAGGCATGGGTGCAATCAGTGCAGAACAGGAGCTTGTGATTTAGGATTATTAATTAGAAATTTCTATTTAATATAGCACATCATCTCTACTACAACAGAGATATTCCACACAGCATCCTCTTTTGGGATATATGTAGCCATCCATCTATGCTACAGGCTCCACCTGAGAGCATCTGAGCTTAGAATTTGGTCCTGAATTGGTATCTTGCATATATTCTAAGAATTTACAGTGGGGAAGTTTGCCTGGAGAGTTATTCTGTTCTGCTGTATTCCTCAGACATCCGTGGTCTTAAATATTTGAAAATATTAATTTGCCTCCCGTGTGTATGAATTATGATATGGTCTAATGATGCACACTTTCCCTGTGATCCTGGCTTCCTTCATAATCACTAGATGAACATCACTCATGGGTCAAGTGAAGCAGATTGTTGCCTTGGGTGACTTCTGCATTTGCTGTAGAGACTGGAGAGCGTGGAATGAAGGAGGGCTGGCCCTGGAGAAGTGGAATGAATGCTAACCTGAAGAACTAGGATCTAATTCAGTCTTTGCCAGACAATCCTTGCATGCCACCTGCAAAGTTATTTAAACCCCTTTCTTTACAGAGTAGACCTGTTTGCTTTTGTTAGAGGACTAATGTCCTTCTCAAGTACAGCTCAGAAAAGAGAGAGGCCGGCTCTGTGCAGAGCACACACATTGGGACTTCCTATGGCTAAACATCCATCCTCCATTTCTAGATTAAGTGCATAAAGATAGAAAGGACATCATCTACCATGGCTTGTTTCTTCTTTTCTAAGTGGTAAGCTCAGAATGTGTGGAATGAGGTTGGCAGATGCCCTGAACACTCATCTGAAAAGGGTATCAACAAGCCTTTTGCCCTGAGCACTGTCGTGGTTTAACCCCAACTGGCAACTAAGTACCAGGCAGCCTCTCACAGCAAACACACTCCATGCCAGTCCAGACCTTGTAGCAAATTGATAGATTGGGCTTTCACCTCTAATTTCCCAAAGGTGTAGAAGTGAAACATTCAGATATGACGGCGACAGCAATGGAGGCCACAGAAACCCCCCACAGAGAAGTGAGTCCTTTACTCGGTGCAGATGCTGGCATGGAAAATATCAACAGAAAGCAGCAGAATGGAGGTAAATTCTAATGCAGGGTCTCAGCTTAATAAAAGCTTTCCTGGAGGTTGGTGAAGCAGCTCTGTGAGTTCTGTGCCATGTGCAGTGGACAGAAGCTTAGCTGGAGGCAGCTGTGTGTGGAGCTCCACTGCAGTACATCAAAGAGCACGAGCACATTTCCGCTGGTACCTTGTCTCGTTAGCAAATCTATTTCCATTTCCTGTGTCTGGCCTCTGAAAATAAAGGTCACGCACATTTTCAGTGTTCGATCATCAGAGCACAAGCAACTCCCGTTACGAGGTTCAAGATGCTTCTCTGAAGGACAAGATGCCCCAGACGAAGGACAAAAATTAAAAACGAGGCAAAAGCCCAGAGCAAGCACCTGTGCTAGGCTTTGGCACACGGGGCCAGGCAGGACTCCCTTCCCAGCAGTGCCAGTGCTGGCCACGTCCCGGGGGGGCGGTGTGACACAAGGCATCGAGCGGAGCTCCCCGGAGTGCCGAGGGACGGGAGCTCCACTGCTCCCCCGGCACCGGCACCGGGAGGAAGTTCCTGCGCATTGCTGCCCCGGGATTAACGCTTCTCTCCGGTAACAGGGAGGGATCCCTCATTCCCTCATGAGTCACTCCTTGTGGGAAATAACGTTAACCATAGCAGTACGGTGGCATGGGGCTGATACAGCCTCCATCAGAACAGAAGGTTGCGTTTATTTTTTAAAATATAATTCAAATACATGTCTGAGATCAACAGAGCAGCTGTTCCCTAAGACACTGTATGAACACACACACACACATATAGATTTTTTTTTTCCCCTCTGGATGTGTGTATAGGTATATTTCTGTAGAAGGGTATTCCCTCCCAGAGTCAGAACTATGGCTCAGAGTCCCCAGGTGATGCACACTGGAGATGTTCTATTAACTGCAGCTCTCAGTGGCTGAGAAGCTGCCTCCGTGTTTGTGCTTCAAATGAAAGTCAACAGGTTGTTTCACTCTCCTTTAGGCCCAGGAGTCAGAGAGGGCCAAAAGCACAGTTATTACTGTGCCACTGCCAGAAAAGAACATGTCCTTTCCCACAGTTTTGCCCAAATAGATCAAGCATTTTCTGGGTCTTGACAACCATTTGGTATTCCATGAAGTCTGTTGTAAGAGATTTGATAAGTGGGTTGAAATCCTGAGAACATGGCTCTAGTTCACACTATTCTGAGAGCTGTAGCTGGGGAAGGAGAGCAAGAGGAGCAGGAAGGGAGTAGAGCAACAGACAAGCAAAGAGCAGGAGTCTTTTTACCAGAATTCCCATTTTCAACAAAAATAACAAATATTCATATGACTTCCAATGCTTTGATTTCTAAGAGCCTATACTAATTTTACATCACTTTTCCAAGGCTTCCAGAAGCATTTCATTGAACAAAGGCAATGCTTTAACTCTGCCCCAAACTTTGCCTTTTCTGCACTGTCCCAGCTTGGACACAATGTAAAGTATAAATGGAGGTGAGTGTGACTAATCTGGGTGATGAGGTTTTTTGAACAAACCAATGGAGACGTGAAAAATAAATGGTACAAATAAACTGAACAGTTTTAAAATTCTCCACATTGTTTTCATAAGGTATTATTTGTACAGATAAAGGGTTATTTTTAATTCATGCTTTAAACAAATGCCTGAAAGTTCTCATATGTCTGGCAGCTTTCAACACCAGCTTCATCAATTGTTAACTGTCCTCCAGACAGTTATCTGTTCAATAATGCAAGTGCATCAGGGTGACATCCAGCAGTACTAATTCATGTCACTAGCAGCAAGCTTTTCCTGGATTTGCTATGTAAACTTTATATTGTATTATTTCCAAATGCACTCTTGAACATAGTGATTCTGTGCTTGTGCTTAAAGCTACTTTTACTATCGGCAGACTTTATTTCATCCCTTCTGAATCAGAATAGAACCTTTTATAACCAACAACACTAATTTCTCTTCATCACAACGGAACAAGGCTTCTTACCAATTTTTGGCAAACAAGGGAGCTACAGGCATATTTAAAAAAATAATAATACTATGTCAGAGCACAGAAAAGAACTTCCAAGCATCCCATTGAAAGAAAACCTAGTAGTACCTATTTGCCTGGAAAATGTGATAGTTGGGAGCAGCCTATCCACCCATCCATTTGATCTAGGAGGGGAAAACTATTCAAAAGCACCTGAGTAACTCCAGAACATAAAACTCACTAATACAACTTCTTGTGTCCCAGGGGCCAAACCACAGCTGTTTGTGGGCCGCCAACACTGCATGTTCAAATGATAGCTGGGGTTTCAATTTTACCACTAGGATTAACTTGTTAACAAATCTAAGGACAACAGTCACACAAATTATAAGTATTACTCTGACGATAATCTGGGAGGATTGGGAAGATAATGAGGTGGTACAGAATTATACTATTTCAGACAAAATTCAGGCATCAGAATGTGGAATCTACTTGCCAGGGAAAAGAACGTGTAAAGAAACTGTTGTAAAATAAATATATCAATTCTCAAAGTCTATTCCAAGTGCTTAAAAATGGTATGATGGGAATGTCCCAGGGTGAACTAGTATGACTTTTTTCACCTCTGTTAGTATATCTATATTTATATGTATGTGTCTGTATATATATCTACTATACCTGTAGAATATTACTACAGTAAAAGTATCATATGTGTCTGTGAACTGTGCCTGCACACAAATGATGTCACTTTTCCCACTGCCTTAAACGAGACTGTTGGTAGCCAAAACACTGTACACAAAGCTATTTTTGCTTCTGTTTGCTGTAGGCTACAAAGGTATCCCCCCTGTCTCTGCTGCTTCTGGGTTTGCAGCAGGAATTTTGTACTGTACTGCACATATATTAGATCTGGGTTCTACTTTACTGGCACAGAGAACTGTGAATACTAGCACAAAAGGTGCCAATGTCTCAGAGCATTTTGGTTCTGGAACGTTCTGGTTCCAAAGTAAAGTATCCCTGGGAAAACTTGCCATTGTACACAAGGGCAGTATATACCTTTCACTGAGAAGTAAGTTGAATGAGACTTGTGTTAGCTCACAAATGGCAGCACTGTTTGGAGACCAGCTCGTTCCCAGGGAAATGGGAATTTTCTTGCCATGTCACTAGGATTAGATTATTTCTTATTATGTTCTTCAGGCCCAGTGCTGAGTAGCAATCTGAGCTGGGAAATAGGAGACCATTGGTTCAGATTTCCTTTCCTTCTCCCTTCACTGAACATCTGGGAATTCAAGGACTGAACAAGGCCCTCCCAAATTTTTTTACTCTGGCTAGAACTTGAAACTTGAGAAGGCAAAACACAGTGAGAGGGAGATATTCAGCTTGTTCTGAAATAAGAAGCTGCCAGGACGCCCTGTGAGCAGAACTAAACCTTTCAAAGCTGTCTTGTCAAGCACCAAACACCAAACTGATTTAGTCATTATGGCAAAAGGGGAATGTGCCAGTAGCTACTCAGTGCTGTAATTAAAGAGCTTCTATGAACTGCTGCCATAGATTGCCCTGAATTTTGAGGAATGGAGATGTAGCTGAGTTTTCTGGGATTTTGTCTTGCTTCACAGTAAAGATCATCACTCAAATATCTTTTTAATCATTTAAATACATGGCATTTTACAGATGGGGAGCGTCAGGAAGTTAGTACCCAGGGTACATTGGGTACTAATGTACCCAATTCACATTCAGGAAAACTATCTGAAAACCTTCTATAGAATTTAAAATCTGCAATGCCTATTATTTCTTTCCCTCAGAGCCTTGTACAATTAGACTCAATGTAATAATGGCCAGTCTTCGGAGCGAAGATTTTTGGGAAAGGTCATTAACCCTTCCAGCCTGCACAGTGGATTTTTTTTTTTTAGGTGAGACACAGCGTGCGCTGAACTGAGCCCACCCTTTAGTCCTGAGGTTCATCTGCCGGGGCCGAGCAAAGCTTGGACAGTGGCAGTGAGGTCCCCAGGATGTAGGTTTGTTTAGAGTGACCTTCTCTTAGGTGGATTGCCTTCCACGGCTGACGAGCTCCACCTGCCCAGGGGGCCGGGAATCGAACCTGGGTCGCAGAGGTGAGAGTCAGGCACTCTAACCACTAGACCACCAGAGGCCCCAGACTCAATGTAACCAAATTTAAAAATATCTACAGATCTATTTACTACTTGTCTACCTGCTAGTCTAGAATTTACACAGGCTGATTCCTGTAATGCCTGTATGGTCAGGAATTTATGGTGCACCATGGAAAATAATTTATTGTCACCCCCTCAGGAAGTGCTCAGTAACTCATCCACACTCACATAATGCACCCATCCCCATCTCACTGTGTCAGTGCACCATTTAACAGGCACTGCTGTATGCTCTGAGAACCAAAGATGACACACAGCTGCAGGAAAACCTTCCATTACTATGATTCAGGGACCAGCAGGGGCTGGTATAGCTGTTCCAGTCAGTAAATGAGTGAGCTTGGTAAGACCTGCTGCATTCTGTGGCCTCTCCTTGCCCCCTCAGATAGTGAAGCAGCAGCTGCATAACTACATTCTGTTACAATCTTCACTGATTCACATATCCTTGTCAACATCATTCCATATTTCATTTGAACCCCTGCCATGGTTCAAACCCACAAGTAATGTAAAATAGGCTAAAACCTGATGACTAATCACCATCTATCCCTATTGCGTGCTAGCACAGTTTTATAAATTAGCAAACATCTGGGAAAATGATGCAGGGATCTCATCACACTGGTCCTTCCATTAAATTCATGTTTTTTCAGTAGAATATCACTCTGGATGTTCCATCATGTCCTAAAAAGCTCAAGCATTGTGAGATTTCCTTGCTTTTTCATGTCTCTCTCTCTAACCATGGTGTATAAAGTAGGTAGAGACTGCCAGGCCTTCATTTAGAGCATAATGAGATTTTGCTCCTGCAAACATGACTGAGTACTCAAGACCAAGAAATTATTAAACTTGTGAGGTGTGTAGTGTAGTTTTAAAAAAGGGCTTTTAATTCAGGACACACAGTTCTCCTTTGTCTCATTTAATGCCACTTCACACAAGGCCCAACATCTTTCAGATACATAAGGACCAAAGTTTTGAAGTGCAGGTTAACCAAGACCTGCTTGCCAAACATAGAATAATTTTCTTTTGATGGGTAAATGTAACAGCTGTATTAGATCAAAAGGCTGATCTAACTAGCCAGAGCACTGAGGTATTTGTAAGCATGGCATGTGATCAG